CGACGTCTCCCTTCACCCACTTTTCGGTTGTCCGTCCCCAAGGGAGGAGGTCACATAACAGTTCCTTGTAATTGGTTGAAATGCTCTTCTGTGGTTGGGTTTGCACTCAGGTGCCAAGTGAGCAGGCGCAAGCATGAGTGGTACTGGCCATAAAGTCTGTTGGCAGTTCAAACCTACCAGCTGCTCTTTAAGGATTTAGTCTCAGAAATGATTTCCTGAGTAGTTGCAACCCCTTCAGGCTGTGTGCCCAGAATGAAAACAAGGCGCACACCTGAGTCCAGCAGGCAGCTCTGTGAAGGAGATGCCAAGTCTCTACTCCAAACCCCCTCATGCTGCCAAGTCCACTGACATTCCTGGAAACTCCACAGGTGCAGCATATACATCTATTCCCTTGCATACTACTGTAAAAACTAAATTATTCAAAATAGGAATCAAGCATCTTGTTGGTGTTAGGTGCTGTCCAGTGGGCTCTGACTGTCCAGTGACCCTGTGCACGACGGGGCGAAGCACTGCCTGGCCCCTTGCCATCCTCACGGTTTGTTTGTTTGTTTGTTTGTTTGTTCGTGTGTTTGAACCGTGGTTACAGCCACCGTGTGAATCCATCTTCTTGAGGGTCTTCCTCTTTTTCACTGCCCCTTTACCTACCATGATGCCCTTCCCCAGAGACTGGTCTCTCCGATAACTTGATCAAAGTACATGGGATGAATTCTTGCTAACCAAGGAGCATTCTGGCTGTACTTCTTCTAAGACACATCTGTTTGTTCTTTTGAGAGTCCATGGTACTTTTAATATTCTTTGCCGGCATCATAATTCAAATGCACTAATTCCTCTTAGGTCTTCCGTATTCAATGCCTAACTCTCGCATGCATATGAGGCAGTTGAAAATACCCTGGGCTTGGGTCCGGTGCACTTTCGTCCTCAAAGTAACATCCTTGCTTTTCAGCACCTTTAAAGGTCTTAGACTACTTAAATAAGTCGAGAGTCCCTGACAGACAATTCCATGTACTGTATTTACTAAGGAGATTTCGGTCAAAACTGTACCCAGAAAAGCACTTTCAGGGGCTGAAGCACTGAGGAAGGTAAACAAGCCTTCCATGACTTGGCCATGTGTTCACTGAGCTGCCTGGAGAGCGTGTGGCTAGTGACAGGTGGGAATGGTTCGGTCGTTGAAATGAAGCAGGGCAGGGGCTGGCTGTGCTGAGCAGGTTTCCTTTGGCAGTCCAGCAGAAAGGTCCAAGTGGACACAGGCTTTCGCAGCCATGATAACACCCACAAGTAACCCTGGCCCTGCTTCTAAACTCTGCACCTCAGTTTCCTGGTCGGCTGTGATGGGTAAGAGGGCTATGCCATCATAGAGACTTATCCTGCCATCAGCCACCACTGGTGTATGTGTTTGTGTCGATGTATGTATGTATATGTACCTGTGATGCTGTAAACACCTATGTCTGAAAGCACTGATACTAGCCTTCTGGGGGTGCTGGAACAAGCCAGGGCTGCAGCAAAAATATTTTTTCCTGGCTTAGGGGCTAGAGTACAAGAGTTTTGAATGGCTGAGTAATTTTTTTTTTTTTTTCTGAAAAGAGGGCCGTAGGCCAAATAAGTTTGAGAACTTTTCCTCCGAAGCAGGGGTGGGGAATTTCCAGCTTGCAGGCTGTCAAAGAAATCATCAATACCAGCTAACATTGTCTTCCCCAAAGAGAGGCTGTTCCACCCAGGACAGCAGCAGTGAGGACATGAGCTTCTGGACCAGGTTGGCCTGAGGATGATGTTGTAAATATCCAAGTGGCAGAAAAAAGGCTCCCCAGCCGTGCTTTGAAGGAGTAGGAGGGCCTGAGAATGAACCAGACTTCCAGGGAAGGCTTCTGCTGACCTCTCCGCACTGTCTGTCCTACTGGGAACTCAGAGTGGCCTCTGACTTTCAAGTTTTAACTTGTAGCAGGGACGGACTTTTTGATTTCCTACCTCAATGAAATTCCCAAGCATGGATCATTGTAACTGACTCACAAGTTTAATGAAGATAGATTGAAGTTTTTACCAGCAGTTCACTGTAAAAACAATTGTTTTTTTTTAAAAAAAACAAAACATCAACCTAAGAACGTACCAACCATTAAACCCTATGTAAAGACCCAAGTCCGTGAAAGCGGCCGCTGCTTCCTTGGTACCATCAAATGAATGCACCTGAGGGACACACAAGTAGAAGTGTATCATTATCCTATTACTCTCAACCTCAGTACTATTTGCCTTTCTTAGCAAAGGCACGCTATTTAGGGCCACAGATTTGGAATGTTGGTGACCCTTACAACTTCTGTTGTCAAGTCTGATCGACAGTGAAAGCTTGTCCTCATCTCCAGTGACATGAGATGAGGATTCCCTCTCCGCAGTGCTGGCACTGCAGACAGCCCTCGCCTCAAGGCAGACAGGCCTGGGGCCACACTCTTGGGTAAAAGCCGAAGTAAAAGTTCTGACTGCCAGTGAGTCCACACTGACTCACAGCGACCCTATGGGACAGGATAGAAGTGCCCCTGTGGGTTTTGAGACTGCAACTCTTTCCAGGCATAGAAAGCCCCGTCCTCCTGAAACGTAGCAGGTGGTTGGCTGACCTTGTGGTTAGTAGCCCAGGGCAGCTGCACTAGCCACCAGGACTCTGGAAGTTGCTCCGTGAGTCTGAAGGTTAAAAGCAAGGGTTACTGGTCATCCCAGGGCATTCACTAAAGCCGCTCTCAGTTCCAAAGGGCGGTTTCTGAAGGATCAGTACGTCCTCAGCGGGGAAAAGGAGCTGAGGACGGTGCTTTTCTCTCTTCAAGACGGATTAAGACAGACTTTGGATGCATTTATGATTTCAAAACAATTTAAAAAAAACCACCACTTTCCTTTGAAATTAGGTCACCTGAAAAAAAGAATGACACAGTATTGACACTGCCTGCAGAGTCTGACTATGTTATGGATGACACGCTTTCCAGAACCCTCTAGCAAGGAGCCTTATTCTCCCCACATCGTTGCTAAGTGACGGGACCGCGCAGCCGCCATTAGTCTCAAAATAACTTGAAATGCAATTGTTCATAAACCATTTGAGATAATGAGCTATCAAGACTTTATCTGAAAGTTTCAGTTTTATATCTTTATATGGAAAAGTTAAACATGTCAGCTGATTTTGTTCCTGCTGCAGTAGGAAACGTGTTTACACAGTGAGCCAGAACTCGAAGGGACGGCTTTGTTTCTCTGGGTCTGGCCACTTCCCCGCCTTGGGCCAGGTACGGCCTCAGCACTTAACTATCGTTCCTTTGGGTGGCAACTGCCAGCTTTCCTCCTCTGACAGGTTTCCACTATACAGAGGTTCTGGCTTTCATAGATTCTATTCCACAGGTTCAACTGGGCTCTCGACTCATGTCAGCCAACCCCCACTTAGAAATACAGCCAGAGAGCTACGAGGCAGTCTGAAGGTTAAAACAAGGGCCGCCAGTCCTCCCAGGGCATTAATTAAAGCTGCTCTCAATTCCAAAGGGCAGTTTCTACAGGAAGTCTTGCCGGGCAGTGAACTGCAGGTAAAAAGGTGCCACGCAGCGATGCAGCAGACGGACTGGTTTCAAGGAGTGTGAAATGGGCCAGGCCTTGGGAGAACCTCCTGCCAGAGGACCCAGAGGGAAACAGCAGGGTGCACAGTGCTATCCTGCTCCCTCCTTTCAGTCGGCACAGAGGCGCTCTAACTGCAAGGTCAGCAAAACCACCAGCAGCTCCTCGGAGAGAGACCAGGCCTCTGCGCCTTTGACGAGGTGCAGCCCTGGAAGTCCACAGGCCTGTGAGTCGGAGTGGCTGGGGGCAGTGAGTTCTCATGGACCTACATGGATAGGAGTTCTTTCATAAGGGATCAATGAGTGTCTCCTGAGACACTCATAGAAATATCTCTGTATGAGGCTTTCCTCAAAGGATCCATGATCCCCAAAAGATGAAAACCCACTGCTCTGGGCCCTGAAGTAAGGGCGGTCGGGTGAGTCACCTTTGTGGGAGATCCGTCAGGACGAATGGTTGGACTGGCCCTGGGGGAGCACTGCGGAGAGCAGGATGGGAATTACAGACTAGACACCCGGAACCCAAGTGCGGGGGCTTCACAAGCTCGCCAGGCCACTTCACGTCTGCTAGATGCAGACTGAAGAGCACCAAACAATGACTCTTGGGAGAGCCAGGAAACAGCATCACGCAGATCAAATAGATGGGTTCTTTCTGAACAACAACATTTCATTCTCATTCTTGTACTTCGAGCAAAGGAACTATCAAACAAAAAACACTGCGTGGTTTCATGTTTTCGCCACGCTGGCCCATATTTACACCAGTCAAATGCACACGTCCTTCCAAGAACCAACTTGAGTGGCTGAACAACGTCGTGCTCTGGTGCATCACCTCCGAAACGAGACAGACACAGTGGCACTCACCACCCCAGTGACGCAGCGATCCCGGTTTCTTTTCATGATGTCTGTGGATTCCGAAGGAAAAGAATGTTTAGCCGACAGTTTGACTTCTGTTTGGATTTTCACTTCTAAGCCAGCAGGTCATTTCCACTTACCCAAAAACTCGGCATGTGAGTTTCGGCAATGAAGAAACATTGGTAATTTGGTTTGTTCCGATAGTTCAAATTGTTTTTCAAAATACCTGCATCATACAACAAACATTTCCTTGTTAGTTTCACTTTTGCATGAGAAAAAGAACCGTCTCATGAGTGTGTAAACGAATGCCCAGTTCTGAAATGCAGTACATGCACACAGGATAGCACCCCAGCTGTGGCCGAGGATGTTTGCAACACCCGCCTTCTGGAACGGCCCCCTGCTTTTCTGGGAAGAGGGAAAAACCTGAGGCTTCAGGAAACCATCTTCCGAGATGGCGGGTCACTTTCCCACAATGTCTTCTGGTCAAACGGGCAGCACTGGGGGCGCTGTGGGAGACGCATCAGGCTGCTAGCCACAAGCTGGGTTGTTGAAACCGACCAGCCGCTCGCTCTGAGGGAGCATGGGGCTGGTGTCCCGGTGCTGAGTTACAGTCTTGGAAACCCTGAAGAGGGGCCCTTCTCTGTCCACGGTTGCTCTGAGGCAGGACTTTTGAAGGCTAGAATGATTGGCGATGTTCTAAGTCACTGGTTCTCAACCTTCCCAATGCCGCGACCTTAATATAAGTTCATGTTGTGTTGACCCCCCAACCATCAAATTATTTTTGTTGCTACTTCACATCACTGTAATTTTGCTGCTGTTATGTCAGCGACCCCTGTGAAAGGGTCATTCGACCCCCAAGGGGTCGCGACCCATAGGTTGAGAGCTGCTGTGCTAAGTAATTGCTCTTAGAGTAAGGTGACCAGATTTTAACATTGGTAAAGCAGACACCAGCGGGACACCATTGATAAAACTCATATCCTGGTGAAATAGCCACATGGCAGCCAAAAACCGTATACCCTAGCTTGTCGTGCATTCTTTCCAAAAATCGGGACTTTTTTAAAACGCCGCGTGATGCGGGAAAAATTGTTAAAAATCGGAACGTCTGGTCACCTTATCTTAGAGGTTTTTCAGCACATGGTGATGGCCTAAAACATGCTGCTATCTCTGGCGAAGTCCCGCGGCGGGCTTCAACTCATGGAGAAGCTAGTGCTCGTCCCAGTTTGTAACCAAGTTTCTGTACACTGCTACTAGAACTAAGTTACTGATACTGAGCTGTTATAACACACACAACCGAATCCCCTGACCCCTAATGCCATCGAACCAATTCCAACTCTTTGTGGCCCTTGTAGGGTTCTACAGGCTGTGAATCTCGATAGGAGCGGATCGTCTTAACTCTCCCACCGAGCTGCAGACCTTGTTGTTAGCAGTTCAGTGTTTACCCAGCAGCACCACCAGGGGACTAAGAATTCCTTCCAAGAATAAACGCAAGTATTTGTTACTGGTATTTCTTGTTGGTGTCCTTAGGTGCTGTCCAGTTGGTCTCCACTCACAGTGGACCCATGTGGCACAGCCAAATGCTGCCTGTTCCTGGCCCTCCTCACAGTCACTGGTGTGCTGAGCCCACTGTGCAGTCACTGCGACTCTGCAGGAACAGGCAACCTCCTCTTTCTTCTGCGGAGCAGCTAGTGGGCTTGAACAGCTGCCCTTGTCGTTAACAGCTCAATGTGCATAGCCCACTGGGCCCCGACAAGTCACGTCTGCCTCATAGCAACCCAGATAGGACAAGTACAATTGCCCCTTGGGGTTTCTGGGAATTTAACTCTATCACCATTCCAGTCATCCCCACTCAGCGCCACCTAGGGGGCAGAGGAGAAGAGCTTCAGAGGGTCCCCAAATCTGTGATGTAATCTATGGAAGATGCCACATCTTCCTCCCAGAGTTCACGCTTGGGTACACTTGGCCAACCTTTTGGTTAGCAGTTGGGTAATGGCAGAAGGCTGAAAGAAACCACACCGGTCTAGAGAACACTAGTCTGGCTCATTCTGTGTCACTTATTCATGGCCCTTCACACTCCTGGAATTCCGGAGCCAGTGTCAGACACACTCCGTCAGTAAATCCGCTCCTCTGCAGTGACTTCCAGCTGCTGCACACACCAGACTTCACCCATGGTGGAAGGGAGAAGGGGGAGAAGGCATTGTGTAATCTGAAAAATCCCTTCAGGCCACTACCAGGAGCTTAATCAAGATCGTCTAACATTAAACCACGAACTATTACCTATTCCTCTTTTTATATGCTCAGTTCTTAGCAGTTTCTGGCACACAATACTCAATATTTGTTGAATGAATAATTAACTACATAACCCACCTTTACAAATGAATTCTGACGCTCTATCAGTTTGGTAATTAAGGCATTGTTTCATAAAGTCAACAAACTACTCCTTTTTTAAATTAAGCCAGTGACCACTTTTCTTTTCCAGGGTAACATTGCCCACGACTCGATGACAGCTGCCCCTATTGAAGCTCTGGGAGGGAGGCCTGTGGGCTCTTAGTGCTCGTTCCCAGAAGCCACTGCTCTCAGCAGCCATCCTTTTGGAGGATTCCCAGGGGGCCGAGGGAATCCAACACTCAGCTCAGGGCTGTGCTTTTCTAGGTTTGGTGACAGGTCCTGCAGGCTATTTTTAATATCCCTTTTCCTTAATTAGCAGCCCCGGTTGCGTAGTGGTTACATGTTAGGCTGCTACTTGCAAGGTCAGTAGTTGGAATCCACTAGCTTTTCCGCAGGATAAAAACAGGACTTTCTACTCCTGCGAAGTCACAGCCTTGGAAACTCACAGGGCACTTGTACCCTCTCCTAAGGGGTCACTTTATGTTAGAATGGACTCAGTGGCAGTGAGTTTAGTTTGGCTATCTGTCTGTCTGTCTATTTTTTTGCTCTTCCTTATCTAGGGCTGCCACAGAATACCCCAAGAGGATGAGTTTATCAAACTGCAATTTTTTTTTGTTTTGGAAGTCCAAAATCAGAATGTCAGCTTTCTGAAAAATGTGCTTTCTCACCTCCCCACAGCTCTGGAGGAAGCCCTTGGTCTCTGAACAACTTCTGAGCAAGCCTCATGTGGTTGGGCATCTCTCCCAACCCTCACCCTCAGCTCTCTTCCCTTGTGTATTTGCGTTTATATTTCACACGAGATTGACTCCAGGTGTGTCCTACAGGAAGCCTGCTTCATGAACATGTAGCACAGAACTCATTCTCCCCAAACAACTGGATAACCAGTCACGGAAGTGAGGGTTTACAACACGTGCTATGGGGGGTGGGGGTGCAGGACATACATCAATCCCTAGCACCAATGCTCTTAAATCGTATCCCCCACAAATATCTAAGAATTATTTTTTTACACACACAAAAAACCAAAAAGTTTCTATCCTGTGGAACCCTGTGCTTATTTCTACTGTTATAATCAAATTATATGGCTCAGCAGTCTTGGAAGAAGCATATGCTTCCATCCTTTATGAATTATAAGGAACCCTGGTGGCACAGGGGCTAAACCCTCAGCGACGAGCCCAAAGGCTGGTGGTTTTTGAACCCACGCGGCAGCTCTGAGCGAGAGAGACTTGGCAGTGTGTTCTTAAAGACCACAGCTGAGCAAAGCCTGTGAGGCAGCTACATAGCCACTCAGTCACCGAGCTGGAACTAGACGCAAGTCTCCACTCCACTGCTGAAAGCCGGGGCGGGGGCCAATGACAGTATATTGGCGCCTTGGGGCTGTCAGGTAAGCGCTTGGCCGCTAACCTCAAAGTCACAGGTTCAAACCCATTTTCTCTGGGGGAGAAAGATGAGGTGACCTGCTGTCATAAAGACTAATAGCTTTGGACACACCCACTGTAAATCTGAGTCAGCATCAACTGGGTGGCAGTGGTTATCTTGATACTTCAGCAACATACATTCTCAACTGATAAAAGCTATTAACAAAACCACTCCCAGGATTTGCAATAAGTTTGATAATCAATAAATTTCCTTACTTGAGCTGCGTCTCTTTGGGACAAAACTGCAGTCGGTCAAAATCTTTAAAAGACAAGAAGAATGACTTGTGACTTGTAGACACCACAACAGTCGCCTGGAAGGAGGTCACCCTAAGTGGCTAGGCTGGTACTTACCAAGCCCACACTCCCCGATGGCGACCACTTTCCCCTTACTGCCTTCGGCAAGATCCAGCAAGTCCTTTAAGTAAAGATCAGGGTCGTTCTTCTCAAATTCCCCACACCTGGTCGGATGGCACCCAACTGTACTGAAAAACATCTCTAAACCAGAAGAACGTTTTTGGGTTACTTTCACAGTACGGGCTTTTTTCCCATTTATATTTAATATGAAAAAATTGGAGCATATCAAAATACTCCAACTGGTTAATTTTTAACACAAAACCATTCACACTCGATTTACATTAGTCCTGCAGTTGTATTCCATTAATTAAGAGTTTGGGGAATATCTTAGCAAATCTGAATACAAACATTGCCTTAAGGTACTGATAAAACTAACCCAACTCTTTCCCAAACTTGCCACCTCCGCTCTGGAGCCTTGTAGGATGGCAAATAAAACTGCCTGGTAATGCCATCACCCAATTTTACCCTTTCCACTCACTGTCAACTTCTCGGCCCGATGCCTGGATTAATAGAAGCTGGCAGTTACAGAGAATCCCCCTTAGAGAGTATAATGAGAGGAGGGGCTCGTTGTGAAGCTCACAGCAATCTCAGGCGATGACAGCTTTGCTTGTAGGGATCAAAACATGGAATCAGAAGAGACTCGCGTCGGAGCCGCCATGCTCCCTGAGACTTGCAGCAGTAGCCACATGCTCAGGCTTTCAGTCAGGAAGTGTTAATGTGAGCTTTCAGTACTACGAGAAGCACTTTGGTTTTTTTTAAGACTATAAAAAGGAAATTTTAATGTTTCATTGTTTGGTTGAGAATATATACAACACACGGCAAACACAGACAGATGAGATTCTTCCAGGTGCGCATCCACCCTCCCCCACTTCCTGAGCCCTCCCTCGGGATCATAAACCCTGTTCCCAGGGCTCCTTTGGAATCTCTCCCTTTGATTCCATAGAGACAGTTCTTACGGGAGCACAATGCTCCAGGCAGACCTTTGCTACTCTTAGGAAGACTGAAAGGGATGTTTTTGGTTTAAAGTTTAAAAATGATCTCAGGATACTAGTTTTAAGGGTTCACCTGTCCTCCGTGGCTCCAGGAAGCTCATGCACATTTGAAATTCTGCCCTGCATCTTCTCCCTTTTGATCAGGATTCAGCTATGGAATCTCTAATCGGGAGAGTCAGGGGTGGTGGCCCAGCCCCACCCAGTGCTGGTCCAGTGGCAAAGCCCGCAGCTATTCTTGGAGGCTTGAGCCACACCCTCTGTTTCCTCCTGCACCCCTGACTCCTCCCTCTGTTGCTTGCTCTTGGAGTGGGAGAGACCCATTTCTCTGCCCTCGGGGTGCGGTTTGCAAGCTTTAAAAACCCTGGGCACCACACTACCAACTAGGAGGCAGAATGGAGCCCTCAAAGCAACCTGAGGTTAATGAACGGAGCCTTCTGTCCCACAGAGCCATGACCCCTATACTCTGAAAGCCAGGCACCAAAGGCTCTGAGGCATTTGGTTGTAAGAGAGTTTTAATATGCCAACTGGTACTTGGAACTTTTACATCTCCATCACGCCCCATTGAAATCAATCCACTTTCCTGTTATTTCCATAGTCGCGAGCCATTGTGGAATATCTGAAGCAGTTCTCAGAAAGACTTCTTCACAATAACTGAATTCACATTGTTCGGGGTAAAAGTAATATGAGGGTACCATTTTTCTGTGCCAGATGCAGGGCATCTTTACTGTCTTGCAGGCTCCCACCTGTAATCATGAGCTGCAACCGGGAGAAACAAAGTCAGTCAGGCTGAGAAGAAGAGCACATCCCCAGCTCCCCAGACCTGCTTCCTGCTGGCCCTTGGCCAGAAGGCCACCCTCCCGGTGACTCTCACTCACCTCCCTTCCTTTCAAAGTCAAAGACCAGCTTCCTCCTCTGCACTCACCCCAGTCCACTGAAGTGTCACTCCTGGGAAAATGGGTTTACATGTCTGCCTTTTAGGCCTGGAGCTCACTGCGGGCAGAGAGCCTGGGCTAGGAAAGGCTAATAGAGACCCCGGGATGTAGAATTAGACCTGTAATATGCTGAGCCTTTCAGTAGCTATTCAGCACACTTGTAGCCATAATTAAATTGTAGGGTATTAGATTGAGAATCCAATCTAAGCCTAACTAATGCTTTATCACCTCTAAACAATTCAAGGCCCAACTAATGCTATCTTGCTTCTGTAAACATTCGCTTGTGTTAGGCACCCCTGTAAATTACCATGTGAAGGGCAAGTCTTGCCACCAAAACAGAACGCCTCAGCAGGACACCTGCCCTCCTGCAGTGCTGCGGCCTTCCTGAGATTAGGTTGCAGGTGAGAACTGAAGAATGTGCTGTAACTGCTTAATTAACCCTTGTGTAAAATTGTAGATTGATTAATTGCCTTTGTGTAGAATTGTGAAAGTATAAGTACCCAACGGATCAGGGGAAGGGACTGCTCTCTCAAGCCCTGCGTTGGGCTGAGACAGTCTCTGGCCAGAAGAATAAAAAGACTCTTTTAATTCGAACTCTGCTGGTCATTCTCACGATTAACCACTGAGACCCCAAAAAGAGGGTCTTACAAGATGTGAACAAAACTACTGCAGAAACCTTGTCTGCTAGCCCTCCCTCGTTCAGTAGGTACCATCCAGATACTGTACAGATAGATGTAAAGCACCTCCTCATCCAGCCGACTCCATCTGTTCTCTCAAACGCTGTCAGGTGGTGGGAAACGGAACAGCACGGCTCACGGGTGGGTTTCCCCCAGTTTAGAGCCATGGCAGCAGCGGCTTCCTCCACCGCTTCCATCCTGGAAAGCTACTTACTCTATGCCACACACAGTGCCACGGGCTTTGCATTTTGTCGTGTGTGTATGTGTATACGTATTTTTAACCTTCGCCATTACTCTCCAAGTTAGACTCCGGTTGGCTGTCAGTACCCTCTGGTTCTGCATCCCCTGAAACGAGCAGCCACATAGGGAAGATGGGTGGGGATGGAGCTAGGCCCTGAAAGCAATGAGAGATCAAGACAATCCCTCAAAGGCTACAAAACTCAAAACTCACACCACCAAGTGGATTTCTGGGTAAGCCAGTAATGGAGTTGAAAGCCTCATCTTTCTCCCCTCTGGTGGTTTCAAACAGCTTACCTTGTGAATCATAGCCCTACATGTAACCACTGTGCCACCAGGGCACCTCAGAGGCAAAGGGGGCGGTGGTAAGGTGCTGTTTACTGAGCATTTGCACTGTCTTCGGTGTTGGGAGTAACAGAGGTGATGTAAAGTACAGGGGCACGAGCAGGCTACAGGCAAACGCTCTTTGGACTGTGGTGCCTGCTGGGGCATGGAACCAAGTCCCCAGGAGACCGAGGGATGACTGCATTACTGCTCCCGGGGGTGGGGTGGGGTGGGGGTTACCCAGCAGGGGATGACTACATACTGTGAAATCAATGTGAATCTTTCCATGATGACTCGGACTGATAATGAAATAGCGTTGCGAGGGAGAAAGATGGGCTCTCTACTCCTGTGAAGAGTGACCATCTCAGAAACTCCCAGGGGCAGTTCTACCCTGTCCTGTAGGGTCGCTAGGAGTTTGCATTGATTTGATGGCAGTGAATTTGATCTGGAGACCCGAACCCAATGGGCAGCTCGCTATCTTAAAAGACTAGGAATTTAAAGGAAATTATTTAAAGAATTTGATATCGAACTAATACTGATTTGCTTAGACTTTGTCAAAGTAGTAGGAACTTTCCTAGTGTAATGCAGTGAATTATGTAATGTGCTGCTTTTAGACACAGCCTTTGCTACTCCCACAAAACCACCTTTGTTTTCCTGATGGATCTAGGTAAGAAGGGGGGGGGCGGAGATAACGAGGGGATGACATGACTCTGTCGTGAGTGACTGTGAACAGGGTTAATTGAGATCGCCATCCTGCTGGGTATAAAATCAGGCATCTCAGAAATAGGATCAGGGTATCTTATTAGCAGCAGAGAAAACCAGGATATAGAGCATGCCTTTTGTACTGAAATCCCCGTGCATTCAACCTGCAGACCATGAGCTGGAGGGGTGGACTTCCCAGCCCACAGAGTAAGTAAACTGTGTGAACAAAATCTGATGAGTGCTTCTGATGAAACAAAACTATCCTCTCCTTCTTTACTATTTTCTCTGCTTACTGTCATGGTCTTTGTTTTACCTCAGTAACCTTGGTAGAGCTGGGTATGTTCATTTGTATAATTCAGTTTGTTTGATGAGAGTGAAGATAGATAAGCCTTCAGAAACAGTAACAGGACTAAGGATACCTGGAGGATACTGGAAGAGAAAGGGGAGGGGGGAGCTGACGGCAATGATGATGGTATAACCCCACTGGAGAGCAATGAATAACAGAATTGTATGTGAATGGAGACATTGGATGGTGTAAGATATGGCCAATAAATTTAAATAAATAAATAAATGATATATAATAATAAGGGTTCCTGGGGGGTAAGGTGGGGGAAGGAGGAGATAAAGGGGAGATGATGTCAAAGAGTTCAAGAGAAAATGTTTTGAAATTGATGATGGCAGCAATTGTACAATTATGCTCGATCTAATTGTGGACTGTTATAATATCTGTAAGTGTTCCCAATAAAATGCTTAATTGGAAAAAACAAAAGAGCAACATTGGCTGGGCCAACTTGGCTGGGCCATGATTCTCAGTGGCTTAGCAGACATAGGATATAATTTGGCAGTTATGTAATGAAGTAGTTATCCTCCACTTTGTGATCTGATATGGTCATCCTTCATTTTTGCAGAAGACCAATTTTTACATAATGTCCTGATTTGGAACCTAACCATGTTGATAAATGAGGTGTGTGTGTAAGAAAAAAATACATCTCACAAGAAAGATGGTCAGAAATTATGAAAAAAAATCTAGAAGAAAAAATGTTATGACCAATAAAGAGGAAAAAATGCTCAATTTCAAGAGTAATCAAGGAACTGAAATTCTATCTTACACATGCTGGATGTGGGAAAATGTTTTTAAAAGTTGATAACGTCCTGATGTGAGTCTCTGAGGACACAATATCACTTTATATAGTATCATACAGTATGCTAAAATGGACAACCTAAATTAATCATGTATACAGCATCAAAAAACCCAGAAACTAAATTTAGGAGTAGGAAACAGAATAACTAGTCTGAATTCTTAGTATGACAATGTCAAAAAGAGAAAAAAGCTAAAGAACTGAAAAACAAATGCCTAAAACTGCTGAATGCTTTGGGGCAGGAGGCTGACTGTGGTGTGGGCTGCTCTGGGCACTGACTTGGGAGAGCTGAGTTTGCTGATCATCGCAGGAGCTATGCTCTTGGATGAGGCTTCCAGTAGAGTGGCAGCCCTTTGGGCATTTATTGGCAGCCGTGTGGGAGCTTTGTAACATTTCCTGAGCAGGGTAAAGGCCAGTCCACCAGGCTGAGTGAGAGAGAGGCTTGCCTGCGGGCACAGCAGAGAAGAAACAGTCCTGACTGAATAACTGTCCCTTGAGCATTTCTCACCTAAACTGTAACCTGTGAACTTCCCTAATCAACTCCATAGTCGTGAGCACAGTCTGTCAGTTCTAGGTGGCCATTGCAATGAATTCTAGAACTTAGCAGCAAAGTCACTCACTACTGCCAAGTTACTTGACTCACAGCAACCCCATAGGGCAGAGTTAGGCTGCGTCGTTGGCTTTCAGAGACTGTACATTTTTAATGGGAGTGGAAAGCCTCATCTTTATCCCATGGACCAATCGGTGGGTCTGAACTGCTGACCTTACAGTTAGCACCTAACATATATTCCACTACGCCATCCTTAGCAGAAAAGTAGAATGTGGTAAAAATAAAGAGCGCCATGGAAGGATGGTTGATATCAGAAGAGGATTAAGAAGGATGGAGGCATGTCTGCCCCCTGCCTTGTGGCGATCAGTCTGAGGAGCCAGAGATGGTCAGGTGTGGCGGCGCCCATGCCATTTCTACACTTACTAATCAAAATATGATTGTGAAAGCCCAAGTACCCCTTCCATCATTTAAAATGGTATACCCTTCCTATGAAAAGCTTAAGGAGAGACTTTTGGACCACTGTTGAATTCTAACTGCTGAAGAAAACCCTATCGTTTACTAATAGGTGCCTCCTAGGCAACCTGGCGGCCCACATCACAGATGTGTTGTCATTCACCACATTTCTCATCATCAGAAGAACTACTCAGGTCTGTGAACAAGTCTTTGTGATCAGAATACTTTGGTATTTCCTTTAAAACACACACACACTCACTGCCATCAGGTTGATTCTGACTCATGGCAGCCCTATGGGGTGGAACTACCCCTGTGTGTTTCCAAGACGGGAACTCTTTATGGGAATAGAAAGCCAGGTCTTTTTCTCATTGAGTAGCTGGTGGTTTTAAGCTGCTGACTGTGGGGTTAGCAACTCAGCACATAACCCAACACACTACCAGGGTTCCATCGTTTCCATTCCAAACCCAAATCCAAACTCACAGTCATCAAAGTTGATGCCAACTCATAGCAACCCTCCAGGACAGGGCAGAACTGCCCGAGCATTTCCAAGACTGGAGTTCTTTACAGGAGAGAGCCCCGTCTCTGAGGGGAAGCTGGTGCTTTTAACTGCCGACTTTAAGGTTAGCAGCCCGACACAGAACTCACTACACCACCGGGGCTCCATCCTTTCTTTCCATTGGCTTGCTAATACTGCACGGAGACAGCACACACCCAAGGAGGCCAGCTGGGGCATCGGCTCTCTCTCTTCTGTCTGTAGAGCTGTTGAGATTTTCCATTTAGGAAACAAAAACACTCCAGAGTAACCAAAAACAGACATTACCTTTTTAACACCAATCTGGGCCGCTCTCTCAACGACAACCTGTAAGTCATCTGTAAAGATGAATCCCACAGTAAGAAAACTTGGTGAGCACAGATTCATTTACTTATTTAATGAGTCCTTCTTAAAAGAACACACAGAAGAATAATCACATTTATCACAGGGTCAGGTGACACTGTTTGAGAACTCCTCTATTTAATAAGCATAGAAGTAGCAATAGCTTTTCAAGGAGAGAGGCAAAATATAAAGCAAACTAGTTTCATTGTGACTTTTATTTTGATGACCAAGGGGGGGGGGGGGGGCGGAGGTCAGGAAGTTCTATGGACAGATACATTAGCTCAATGCAGTTTAAGGTACTTGCCTTGAATTTGAAACTCGTGTTACTTTTTTAGTTAAAAAGACTTTCTTTTTACTAGAGACGTTATGAATAATTCTGCAACGTCTCGAAAAATCTGCGGAAACTCTTCTTTGTAAATTTAAGCTAATGCTCTTTTTCTATAAGCACTGCTTCTATTGAGTAAGTATTATTTTTATTTTCGCTTAAACCCCAGTCACTGTTAGGCCGCTGGCAGTCCCTGGGTGATGAATGGAGATGCCTACTGGCCCTGTAAGCAGGGTTCAAACCGGTCTATCACCGATGACTAAGCAAAATGGGAGCAGCCAGAATTTCGGCAGTTTGGTGTGATCATTGGAATGGGAACAATTCTGGGCCAACTTCTGGGAAAAGCACAAGGAGCCCTTTCTGGAACCTGATACGTGAGGCCTGTGGAGAGCGATTCACCCCAAAGGGGTGCAGCCTGTCCCCATCTCTGAGCAGCACAGTGGATTCTACTCGCCTACAATTCCACTTCAAGACACACCTGGGGCCGATCTCCCTCATAACCTGTGGGTTTGCCACAAAAAAAGAACACTTCCTAAGGAGATCAATTGTCATTAAGCTCCGAGCCACCACCCGAAACAAATGGGCAGCAATACTAAACAGTGACATCATAAAAATCCATTTATTTCAGGCTTGTTTATCGCAATTAGAATTAAATGACTCTTCCTTCTAAAGTAGCTAGAAAATTTGTTCTAGATAAAATTCTGTTAACTAGGACATTAGTGTTGCTAGATAAACTGCAGTGGTACTAATACTTATCACAATGAAACCATAGCAAACAAAACAACAACTCCAAACTCACTGCCACCCGTCGACTGCGACCCTAGAGAGGAGGGCCGAACTCGCCCTGTGGGTTCCCAACACTGCCTCTCCACGGAGTGGGGACTCGCGTCCCCTGCAGAGCAGAGTTCAAACTGCTGATAAACACACAGTCACAGGCAAGAAATCTGTGACGCGCCACAAGGCCAGAGAAGCAGAACAAACTTTATTTTTCACAAACTACTATCTGAGTGACCTACAAGTGTCCTTTAAAATTCTAAATGAACTACAGAAGTTAAGTTTTTCAAGTAAGACAAGGAAGTTAGCATTTACTTTTCTCCTTCCCAGTGGCAGGGAGCATGCCCTGTACTCAGGTGAATTCTCTGAGGACAGATCAGTTTCTGACAGCTTTGTGTAACAGAATTTCATCATCCCCCACAGCCACAAAACCCATCCTGTTTGCATTTCCATAGGAGCAAATGTAGTGAATTTTCTGACAATACTCAGACTAGTTCTTGAGGCGCTTCCTGCCACTGGCACTTTGTGCTCAGTCACTTATTCACAGCTGGCAGGGTGGGCCATTTAAATGAACTTGCTAAAAACAAGCACTGTGTTTTGTGCTGAGCTCTAAAGAATCTCTGAGGAATTACCATGGATGTGTACAGTGGCCTCTAGGAGAGAAAGTGGGGAGCGCAGATTCGGGAAGGCATGGACCTCAACCCTCCTCAGTCCCACTGCTAGCGTGGTCCCGTATTTAAAAAAAAAACATATGCCAATGTTCAATTGCCAAGGATTCTTGGATGGCCTGCCCCGCTGTTCAGGTGCTTAAGAAGATGAATTACACACCGATGACTGTCTCTGGTGCCTGTGGCGTGTTGTCGGCTGTCACTGAGGCAGCCTGACTCACGTGACCTCAGCAGAGCAGACTGAAACGGCAGACTGTGGTGACCCACAGGGGTTTTGTTGGCTCATTTCTAGAAGGAGGTTACCAGACCTTTCTTCCTTATATGATTCTATTATGTTAGGAGGGCTTAAAAACAACTTGTGACAAAATGAAATTTAAAGATAATGGAATTTTCCACGTACTTTATGACACCCCCCCAGAACAAAAAACTTTTACAGATCCGGCTCTGGAACACCCTCATATAACAGGCGCTTGATAAATGTCATGACTGTGGGTGACAATATGCATGTGTTTCACTCTAACTAGAGTTTATATCTGATCCAGGGTCCCAGGTCCTTGAATATTTCAGTTATGGGAAGTGACTGATGCTTGTGTTCAAAAAAATCTCCTTTTTGAGGTACAAAATGTGTCTTTATAGAAGGACTCACAGTGAGCAAACAAAACCCAAAACTTACCAGGATGCTTTTGAACTCCCCTGTAAATCCCTCTGAACATAGGATCTGTCAAGTTGACACCAATGTCTGTGGAAAGTAAAATAGAGCCAATGATGTAGCCATGACGGGCCTCAATCGGAACCTTCTCCTTTAAATAAAATCAGCTACTGTTTGCTCCCTGCCTCAGGCAAACAATATCCAGGGGCCACCATTGCCAAACTGCAGTGCTAGACACTGCCTGGGACAGAGAGGGGAGCAAATCCAATGGTTGCTCTCCAGACACTCCACCCCACCCCACCCCCAGTGGCTCAGGCCCTGAGGAAACAGCCGAAGCAAGCACAGAAGGACACAGAAGGGACACAGGGTACCAGACCTAGGCAGGCGGGTGGGTGGCTGGCCCAGAAGCGCTGCCAGAGGTGTTGCCCTCTGAAGTAAAAAATAAGTTAGCTACTCCATGGGAGACTGGAGAGGGGAGGCTGCAGACTGACAGACCAAAGTGGCACAAGGGCAAAGCCTGAGGCGTGGTCTCACCAGTGTTTGTGTGAGCTACAGAGTAGGCAGGGAGTGGGCAGAAGAGGTAGATCCAGCTAAGCTAGACTCTAGTCCAGTGGTTCTCAACCTTCCTAATGCCACGACCCTTTAATACAGTTCCTCATGTGGTGACCCCCAACCATCACCATTATTCTTGTTGCTACTTCATCACTGCAATTTTGCTACTGTTATGAATCGGGCGACACCTGTGAAAAGGTCATTCGACCCCCAACAGGGTCTCGCCCCACAGGTTGAGAACCGCTGCTCTAGTCTGTAACAGACTTCACGCAACAAGAAGCCCCAAGGGCTTTTGTACAGAGGAAGGAGATAGGCACCTGGGCACTGTTGTCACGGCAGCTTTGTGGAAAGAGATTTGAAGGGGGCAGGTGGAGCGAGGGCGTCCCATTGGAAACTGCCCAGAGCCTACATTTGCAATGAAGGGGAGCTGCCCTGGGGAATGTCTGTATTCACCAGCTACTCCTAAAGAGCAAGTCTGTGCCCAGTGCTCTGTAGAGAGTTAGGGAACAAACGAGGAAGAGGAGCCAGCACCTGGTCCTGCCCTCTGGAGATCTGGTCTAAATGGAATCTGCAAATGGCCACTGACAAAAGCCAGTCTTCTCCCAGGCATACCCGACATGGTTGGCACTCTCGATGCACATAGTCTGTACTCATTAACTGCATGGGCGCACGTGGAAGGACAATCTACATACAGGTATTGGCTGGCACAGTGTTCTCTGATGGACGGACGAGGTGTCGTCATGCCTGTAAACAGTGGCTCTCCAGTGATTCTGCAGCACCGCCCTCCTCCTTGGTACCCCCACCCTGATATTTGTGCTGGGAGACATTTTTGGTGGTCACAACTGAGGAGCTATGAGGGGTGCTACTAAGACTTAGTGAGTAGAGGCCAAGTTGTCCTTGGGTGCTCTTGATTTGATTCCAACCTGGTGGTACAGTGGTCACCCATTAGGCTGCTAACTACAAAGCTTGTAGTTCAAAACCACCAGCTGCTCTATGGGAGAGAGAAGGCTTTCTACTCTTACAGGGTCTCAGAAACTCACAGGGACCGGTCTCTCCCGTCCTTTCTGAGTCAGAATCAACGTAATGGCAGTGAATGATGTGATAGAGTGGTTTAATTGGCTGCTTAACAAGATCAGAAGTTTGAAATCACCAGTTGCTCTGTAGGAGAAGGAAGGCTTTCTACAACCCTAAAAAGCTAGTCTCAGAAACCCACAGGTGTAGTTTGACTCTGGTCTATTCTGCCCTATTAGGTCTTACGGAGTCAGAATCAACTCAGCAGCAGTGGGTAGGTTAGATCCGCCCCCTAGGGGCATAAATCAAAACTGCACTCACTGCCATTGAATCCATTCCAACCCTACAAGGCAGAGTAAATTTGTCTTCCTTCCTTGGATTTCCAGGACCTTCAAGCTTTATGGGAGTAGACAGACTCATCGCTCTCCTGTGGATTAGCTGGTGGGTTTGAAGTGCTGACCTGTGGTTAGTGGGTCCATGCAAGCCCAATGAATATGCCCCTAGGGCTTCCTCCCAAAACCCAAACTCACTGTCATTGAGTCAATTCCAACTCATAGTGACTTCACAGGACAGGCTAGAACTTCCTGGTGGGTTTCTAGTACTGTAACTTAAAAAAATAAAATAATTTTTTTTGGGGGGGGGGTTCATATAACTCTTATCACAATCCATATATCCGTCCATGTGTCAAGCACATTTGTTGCCATCATTTTCTTTTTTTTTTTAAATCGTTTTATTAGGGGCTCATATGACTCTTATCACAATCCATACATACATCAATTGTATAAAGCACATTTGTACATTCATTGCCCTCATCATTCTCAAAACATTTGCTCTCCACTTAAGCCCCCGGCATCAGGTCCTCATTTTTCCCCTTCCCTCCCTGCTCCCCCCTCCCTCATGAGCCCTTGATAATTTATAAATTTTTATTTTGTCATATCTTGCCCTGTCCGACGTCTCCCTTCACCCACTTTTCAGTTGTCCGTACCCCAGGGAGGAGGTCACATAGAGATCCTTGTAATCGGTTCCCTCTTTCCAACCCAGCCATCATCATTTTCAAAACTCTTACTTTCTACTTGAGCCCTTGGTATCAGCTCATTTTTTCCCTCCCTCAAGAACCCTTGATAATTTATAAATTATTTTTTCATGTCTTACACTGACTGATATCTCCCTTCACCCACTTTTCTGTTGTCCATCCCCTGGGAGAAGGTTATATGTAGATCATTGTGATCAGTTACCCCTATCTCCCCACACCTCCCCCTTCCCCTTCCCCTCCTGGTATGGCTACTCTCAATATTGGTCCTGAGGGGTTTATTTGTCCTGGATTCCCTGTGTTTCCAGCTCTTATCTGTACCTGTGTACATGCTCTGTTCTAGCCAGATTTGTAAGGTAGAATTGGGGTCATCATAGTAGGGGGGAGGACTATATATAACTCTTATGGGAGTAGAAAGCCTCATTTTGCTTAACGGAGAGGCTGGTGGTTTCGAACTGCTGACCTTGTGGTTAGCAGCCCAATGCGTATGCATTATGCCACTAGAGATCCCTAGCTTCTGATAAATTCTGCTGTAGAGTATGGGGAACAAGAATACTGAACTGGGAACCAGGCTGGGCAGGTAGGTCCTGGGCAACAAGAAGGTCTTTCGTATCTAGCACACACCCTTTAGCTTTGAGCACTAGCAGAATTGGGGTGGGTGAGGTGAGGGGGATGGGCAGTTACCTAGCAAGAGACCCTAAATGATTCCTGCCAAGCTTCAGTTAGACCACGCTGGTTTATTTTCAGTTTTTCCCCAGCTTCTCCCCAATGAAGCTGGGTGGGGTGGGGGAAGTCCTGTAATCTAGACAGCCAGGGGGGTGGGGGTGTTTCCAGGCATCTGAAACAGCAAGAGGAAGGCACAAGCCAGACAAGGTCTGTAGGTCACCAGAGATGGAGGCAGGGGAAGTCACCACTGGTCATCCCTGTTGGAGACTATTAAATAGGACATCAGTTAACACTAAAAACGTAATGCAAGCCTTGGGCTTCAGTGAATTGGCTCAGATCCAAAATAGTCACCTAGTTTCTCTCCCGGGAAGGTCACTGGAGGAGGCAGATCGAGAGGGCACCCAGGCCAGAGGCCTTCCTGCCCGAAACAGCCCTCTGCCCTGTCAGCCCACTGTCACCCAACCCTGGGGGGGCTCATCGGCCCCCCAGAAATGGCGCACTTCCTCTGGCCCTTCTCCCGTCAGAGCTGTGAGACTGGAACGTTCCCAGGAAATAAGGTGAAACAGGGCAAAGTGAAGAATAAACAAGGTAACAAAGCAGCCTTTGTAATCCTAGCTTTGAGTCTTTACAATTTCAGTACTTTATTTCATCCAACATATGCAAAATAGCACCCTTCTAACATAACCAGTGTAAAAGGTTTTAACAGGATTTTCTGCTGCTGTTGACACTGAACATACCCCAATTCAACAGATATTCGGAGACCCTGATGAGTCTTTTGAGCAGCCTTCCCACCCCAATAGGTCCCTACCTTTAGAAGCAGAGGGGAGATTAGCGCTGAGGCCACCCCTGTCCTTGCTTCAACCCATCCTGGCAGGGTGCTATCTGACTTTCAGTGCCCACCATGAGGGCAATGTTGCTGGCCTCCTCCTCCCTCTGACAAAGGTCTTCCTGATGGGCCAACTCCTCAGATCTTGTCTCACACCATGGCCACAGTCATGTGGCCAAAATCATTACCATGTGATTTTTTGTTTGCAACTTTGGAGCTAAATTTTTGCTTTGCTTTTGCAATGCAGGCTGAATCACAAAATGCTCTGAAATCTTTGTTGGGTATGCTGGATTTTGATAACACCATGTCCTGACAGCTTCTGGTACTAGAGGGCAGGTGGGATGTGGCATGGAAAAGTAGTCATTTGAATGTTACCTAACCGGGAACACCCTGCACCTTTGCAGGAACAACACCTGAGCAGCCTTCCCTGCCACTCAAGAGCCGAGACAGAAATTTCATATAATCCAAGATCCAGTCACTTCAACACGTGCCTGATATGCTACCTTCTAGGTCACATGGGTACCCAAGTTCCTACCCCAATGGCAGCACCCATTCCCAAGAAACCGCACGTAGGATATGGTGCTCCTATGTGGGTTACCAGAGTTAATGGTCTTCATCGGCTTTGGGCTCCAGCAAGTCCTGGGCTTTAGGAGAGCCTGCACTGGCCCAGTCACCAATTTCTTCCGTTTGGTGATAAGACCTCTTCTGAGGCATAGCTCTGGGCCTTCCATCCTGGCATGCGGTTGGCTGGGAGTGCAGGCCTCACCAGCCAGTCTCAGAGCCGCTGCTAGCCTCTGAGGAGCAGGGGCAAGTTGCTGTTCTAAACAGCTGCTCCTCAGGAGCATAGGGGCTGCAAGTTGGACTGTCAACTGTGAGGCCAGCAGTTCTAAATGACCAGCCTCTCCGAGATAGGGCCTTCTACTCATGTAAACAGTTCTAGTCTCAGAAACTGCCAGGGGCAGTTCTGCCCTGCTCAGGAAGGTATTGGTATGGACTCAGTGGTGGGGAGTTTTAAAAATCTGGTCTTCCTTTAGTCCACATGACTTCTCTCGGTTTCCTCAAGTTCTCTCCAGTGCTACAAAGGCCTCTGGGACATACCCCATTCCACTCCCCCATCCCTCACCTGCAAACACCTGCTGAGTCAAGATGACCTGCGAGTCAATATAAGGGGTCATAGAAAAGTTCAAACCGATCAATTAAAGGCATCTAATTTGTGGGCAAGTTCCAAAACAAACCCTAAGTTGGGGGAGCACTGTTATCTACAGAAGAATGGAGAGAGACTGGGCTTGGATGTCAGAATTCCGGGCTCACTTTGCTTATTAGTTGAATGATCTTTGGCAAATGACTAGGCTCCTTGAAGGTTCATTCTTCACTGAAGAATTTCCCCTTCTAGGAGGAAGGGTGGTTCTAATCAGAAAACAAATGTGAAGATGTTTTGCAAGTTAAAAGGTATTTACCACCAAGCTCCTGGCTTAGGGTAGCAGCAGCTGGAGGACTGTCCTCAAAGGGGGTTTTACTCAACTAGAGGTACATTGTCGCCGCGCCTTCAGGGGTTAACACTGCCACGCCAAGACAGCAGTGTCAAAGGGGAGTTAACTCAGAGCTGAGCTCTTCTGTGTGCAGAAGAATCATGTTTGATGGAACAACAATAAAGCCAATCAAAATCCAGCTTATTGAGCTCGCTCAAAGCATTCTGATCTGTGCTAAAGGATAGCTGTCTTTGACATTCCTATTCAAAGTACCTCTACCGGCAATAAACACAAGATAAATCAATACTTTCTGAAAATCAGAGGCCCTGGTGGAGTAGTGAGGTATGCGTTATGCTGCTAACCCCCAGGTCAGCAGTTCCAAACCAACAGCCACTCTTTGGGAGAAAGACAAGGCTTTCTACTCCCATAAAGAATTAGTCTTGGAAGTCCACAGGGGCAGTTCTGTATCCTATAGGGTTGCTATGAGTCGAAATTGGCTTGACGGTAACAAGTATGGTTTTGGCTTTTGAATATGAAAAACAATTTCTTTATAGGTCCAGCCAAAGAGTAGAATGCTGTGGAAGATTGGGGAGGGGGGTAGGGGAGGCCAGGGGCTAGGCAGCAGAAAATTACTACTTCTGAATAAGGAAGTAATCTTAACTGCAGGATTCTTCCATTCAGTGACACGTGCTTTATTTCCTCATTCAGTTTCTATTTGTTTTCCCCTTGCAATACCTGGCTGTAAGAGCATTACTTGTTTTCTGATAAAAGCAACTTTGAGCACTAAAGGGTTTTTTGTTTTTAATAAAATAAGAAAATGGAAAACTTTGCCATGAAATGAAAGGCCCAGCTCCCAAACTCCTGAGCCTCACTCACTGCTGGGACTCAGTGATCATGTCTACCCATGTCACTTGTGAGCTAGGGGTCCTAAGGGACAGCAACGAGGGAATTTACAGTGGTTTTTGAACTCCGCTTCAAGATGACAGGCAGCACAGGCAGTTGAGAAAGGAGCTAGGGGACACCACAGAGCACACAAGACGTAAGATAGGAATTCCTGAAAAAGGGAATGTCCTAGATCACAGGCTGACTTTTATGTTTCCAAATGGTTTATTAAAAAAGAACAATGCTTAATGACACGAGAGTTAGAATGATAAATTATTCACATTACATTCCTAGTTTCACTGCCAACCAGAGTTTAGAGGTCCTGGTCCACCCGGACGATACCTTAGGAGAAAGGCCTGGCTAATAAGTGACTTACAAAAACCTGGCCGGTGAAAACCCTATGGCGCACAGATCTACCCAGACACCAATGGGTTCAGCAGGAGTTGCACTCGCAGCGAGTTAAAGTTTTCTAAGAACCCAGCCATTGCCATCCGCTTGAATAGCATCTACGGCCGCTGTTGTATGACCAAAAATAAAAACCGAAAACCAAACACACTGCCATCAGGTCGACGCTGACCCAACAACCCTACAGGACAGGGTGTGTCTGAGACGGCCACTGTCTATGGGAGTAGAAAGCCCCTTTCTTTGGTGGGTGGTTTTGAACTGCTGACCTTGGGGATCGCAGCCTACACCACCAGGGCTCCATGTTGAATGACAGCATGGTAAAATAATCTCTAGGGACTGGCCCAAAGAGTCGAAATCTGTCCCTTTAAGGAAAAAGTCTGTCAACTTGGATGCGAAGTCAAACACTTAAGGAACAAGCAAATGGATGGCGGCACTGCAGATGGACACCAGTTTTGAAACGATCAGCTGTAAAACATCCGGAAAAAAACGAGTGACGTCTTGGCATTAGGGACGATGAAAGTCTGCTGAAGAGAAAGGGTAGAGGTGGTGGTGGGAACCAGTAGGTTGTACGAGTCTGTTCCGTGGCTGTTTTGGTGTGTATGCCTAAAGGTCAGGGAGCACTCGGAGGCATCCTGAGTGATCGTCTCTGCAGGGCGGGACATAAATGTTTTTGTTTTCTCACCGTTGCTTGCCTGGGTTGTGCGTTTCATTTTTCTTCTTGCACCCAAACACAACCCGATGCCACTCAGTCAATTCCACAGCAGAGTAACCCTGCAGTCCGGAATCGTGTTAAGAACTGAAGCTCTGGTCGTGGTGCGGCTTGTTGGCTTGAACAGCCGACCTTTTGGTTAGCAGTCCACACCACCAGGCCTCCTTTCTTCGTGTCTACTAAGTGACATGCTTTCCATCTTTTCACTGTCCTGTATAGATCGCTGCAGTCTTGGTTTCGGCAAGTAATGGTTAGAGCTAAAGCTCTTTATCGCAGGAGAGTTTGTAAATTACAGGCGGAATGTCAAACAATGCCGCCTACAAGAACGGAAACGTGAAGCGGGCAAGTTGGGAGGCTGATGCGCTCATGCTGGTGTCCCTGTTGGCAGAGCCAAGCTTGGCTGCTGGGAAGGGCGCTGGGCTGTGCCCACCTGCGGCTCCTGGGAGACGGATGTACAGACTGCTTCCGTACAGATTTACAGCTTCAGAAACCCTAAGGAGTTCGACTCTGGCCTGTAGGGTGTTTATGAGCCCGAACTGACTCGATGGCAGTGGGCATGGGGTTCTTGTTGGGGCGTGCGTCCTCCAGTTTCCCCCCGAGGCGATGATGCCAAGGCATTTGCTTCTTGTGCTCCTGGGCTGGCGTCAGGCTCACAATGAGGTCTTCATAACTGACACGGTGCGAATTCACAGAGTGAACGGCCCCTCGCAGCCCGTCATCTCCGCTACAAAGATGGGGGACGGGCAGGTGCACGGGAGCAGCTTCCTGCTGACTGGCTTTGGGGCACAAGTAGAAATGCGCATATATCATAATTGTACAGCTTGTGAATGTTCACAACAAATACACCCACCCTCTGCCTTCCCGTGGATTCCGGCTCCTAGCGACCCTAGTCAGGGTTTCCAGGGCTGTAACTCTTTAGGGGAGCAGACACGGCCTAGCTCAGAAAACACCCGTGACACCAGCACCGCGATCCAAACCCGGCGCGCACGTGCCTCCCGCGCCCTCCTCTACCGAGGGCCCTGGGGGCGCAGAAAGGCCCAGGCAGCGGGAAACCACGCGTCTTACCGATAAACTTGAAGCGACTCATGTCTGCGGGCCTGGCTCCTCCCCGGCGGAAGCGGAAGTAGGGGTCGCCCCGCCCTTCCGGTCGCCCCCGCCCCGACCCGGCTTCAGGCGCCGGGCTTCCCAGAAGCCTTCGCGGCCGCTGAAGGTGAACGGGCCGTCATGGCGTTCTCGGCCGCGGGTCCGTACCTGACCCACCAGCAGAAGGTGTTGCGGCTCTACAAGCGGGCGCTGCGCCACCTCGAGTCCTGGGTCATCCACAGGTGGGCGAGGGGCTCCTGGCCTGGGAAGGGGTCCTGCGGACGTTGCAAGGCCCTGGGGGTCGAGGATCGGGCGGCCAAGGACTCGGGGACGGCGTGGAAGGGGGCCCTCTTGATCTGTGTAGCTCTCCTGGGTTCCAATGCCGCGAGACCGCGGACCAGCTGACTTCTCTTCGTCTTAGGACACGGGCCTGGAACCGAGAGAGGTTCCTGAGTAGGTGCATTGCAAGGCGGGTGGTCTCCATCCCTCGTCCGAATTCTAAAACCTCGCTCTTGCCGAAGAGCTTCGGGGAGAGACTTAAGTCAAGGTGGGAAACGGGGCGGCCCGGGGGAACTGCTGGAAGGCCAGCAGAGGGTCCCTTGAACCCTCGGTGGTGAGTGGGAATTTCTCAGAGTGTCTTTGCTAGGCAGGCAGATGGCCAGGGGCAGTGTTGTAGAACCGCTAGCTCGCCTCCCTCCCTCATTCCCTATTGCAGAATTTGTGATCTGGGTTCTGTGCTGGATTCCAAGCTGCAGCAGTGCTTAGAATCGTGGGGAAGGCAGACGGACGAACAGAGAATGTGGAGAACACAGGGACTTAGTCTTTCTGCTGAGTTAACAGCAGGGGCTGTTGAGCCCAGAATCATGGAGGAAGTGGTAGAAGTAGCCACTAGGACAGTAGACGCCATGACAGGACCCCGAGTGGTGCAAAAGGTTAAGGGTTTTGACCAGGGGCTGAAAGGTTGGTGGATCGAATCCACCCAGAGGCTCCTGAGACGACCTGATACCTGGGTGAACCTCACAGCCTTGCGAACCCTGTGGTGCAGTTCAACCCTGCTCGACTGCCACTAACAACATCTACTTTGTGTTGGTCCCACTGACAGCCTTTCTCAGCCATTATGTGCGTGTCTTCCTCCATTTACCCTCCCCTTGCAATTTATTCTCCATGATTCCATATTGGGCGAGCTCACTCAGTGCCAAGGCTTGAGTTGCCACCGATGCTCATTGTTGGCCTGTGTGTCCACTTGTTTGTTAGATCACTTGCACCTTTCTGAAGCTCAGCCTGTCTAAAGTCTGCAAGGCCATTCATATGATTTTCACTCTGTTGGTGAAGCACGAGATTCCTAACCAAACAGAACCCCGACCTCGGGAAAGATGAGGGGACGCCCTACCGGGCAGTCCTCCTCTGCCCTGCCGGGTCACTGGGAGTTGGAAAAGCCACTTAAGGGCACACAACCATCACCCACTTTGATCCTGCCCCAAATTCTTTGTCGCAGCGAGTGGCATTGCTAGGAGCGGAGTCACTGAGTTTAAACCTTTATTTGCCCCTCTGCCAGTATTCTTTCATACCAGGTGCTAGGCACTGCCCTTTGTAATTCTCTCTCCAGAGCAGTAGTATGCATATTACTGACTGATATTATTGACCTTTCTCAAGAAGCCAGTCAGTATCTGAAGGTTTTATGCTTTAACTCGTCCACTCTTTACAATAACTGTAAACTAGAGATACTGTTAACTGCTTTACTGAGGAGGAACTCAGGACCTAGAGCAGAGGTTCTCTACCTGTGGGTCTTGACCCCTTTGGGGGTCAAACGACCCTTTCACAGGGGTTGCTCGATTCATAACAGCAGCAAAATTAGTTATGAAGTAGCAACGAAAATAATTTTATGGTTGGGGGGTCACCACCACATGAGGAACTGTATTAAAGGAGCTCAGCATTAGGAAGGTTGAGAACCACTGTCCTAGAGGGTTGAGCAACTTGCCCCAGATTACAAAGCCTCATCTTTCTCCTGTGGAGTAGTTAAGGGTTCCGAACTGCTGACCTTGTGGTTAGCAGCCCAACAACACGTAGTGCAAGGTACGGGAAATGCAGGACGTTATAATTTAATGATAGTGGAATTGCCCTACAAGTTATACATATTGCCTTTTTCATGTTTAGTTTCAACCATCGTACCTTTTCAAGAGGAGAGTGGAGAATAAGTGGCGAGGCGATGGCTAATGTTATTAGGTCGTGGGGCATCTGCTGCTGTTTGGGGACCTGCCGTAAAAACTGTCATCGTACCAGGCCTAGTCCACTGTCCACATTTGGGAAAGTGGCTGAAAGTTCCCCCACATCCAGCCTCCTGCCAGCAGGTCAGACTGCCTGATAAGTAGTTCCCTCTCTAAAGGCCAATGTCATTTTGCTTGAAGGGATAAGTACCGGTATTTCGCGTGTTTGATGAGAGCCCGATTTGAGGAGCACAAGGATGAAAAGGACATGATCAAGGCCACGCAGCTGCTGAGAGCTGCCGAGGAGGAATTCTGGCACTATCAGCACCCGCAGCCGTACATCTTCCCCGACTCCCCAGGGGGCACCTCTCACGAGCGATATGAGGGCTACAAGGTAGGTGAGGGTGTCAGTGGCACCTGTGCCTTCTGGGGGGCTGACTTGGTGTCCTCGGTCCCCATCCTTGGCCTTACCCTTTTGGGGAATTTCTCTGCTGCAGGTGTAGATACTGTGTCGCATTCTCTGGGGTGTCATGAAGACTTGGTGAATAAAGCTCCAAGGTCTTGCAGTGTGGGGAAAGCATAGTACTAATCCTTGCAAGGAACTCAGTTTGGGACCTGAGCCTTGGCCGGTGTGGGTGGTGCTGGGTCTTGTGGAGAGAGTCCTCCTGGGTAGTCAGGACTGACCTTGTTCCAGTCTCCTCTCCTGTTACGTTAGTTGCTTCGTGTCAGAAACAGCCTGATATTTGCCGTGGTTATTAAAGTTCACCTTGACTTTTGCCTTCTATCTCCTGATAGAACAAGGAAAGGATACATCTGGGTTGTAGCCTTTCGCCATTTTATTCAGTCTATGAGCTGAGCCAATAATCTGAGACTTGGACTTTGTGATGGCGGACGCCGCATCAGGATTGAATGAAGGCTTATTAATTACCTGTGATAGGCAGATGGCACAACCTGATTGCAGAAAGCGAGGCGGCCTTGAAGCACGTACCGTTGGCTAGTGAAGACTCGTTTCACTTGGTCCCAGAATCACCACTTCTGGGAGCGGCAGTCAAGAAATGGCATGAAGTACCCCATTTGATAAATCTCTAAAAGATCTCCTTAAAGTGCTAAAGGCCAAGATGCCACGTTAGAGACTACAGTGCCTAGGAGCCAAGCTGTGGTCTTTTCAGTGGTCTCCTGTGCTGGATGAGAAATGAGGAAGACGGAGGCACTGATGCCTCTAAATTATGACAATGTTCGTGGAAATATGGAATTGAAGGTCATGGAATTTTTTGAAGCCCCTTCATGTGGTGTTGGCCAAGAACACTGACTATGCCATGGACGGTCTGAAGAACAAACAGGTCTGCAGCGGAAGTACAGCCAGAATGCTCCTGAGTAGCAGGGATGGCCAGAGTGCGTGTAATGTACGCATTCCCTGGAGAAGGACATCACGCTTGGCAAAGTAGAGGGTCAGGGGAAAAGAGGAAGACCTTGGCAAGATGGATGGACACAGTGGCTGCACAATGGCTTCCAGCCTCAGAATAATTGCAAGGGTGGTGCAGGCCTGGGCGGTATTTGGTTCAGTTGTACGCAGCCCCTACCCACGCAGTCTCATGAGCAGGCCCTGTCAGTGAATGACACAGCAGTTTCTCTTCCTGGCAGGTCCCTGAGTGGTGCTTAGAATACTGGCACCCTTCTGAGAAGGCCATGTACCCGGATTACTTCGCCAAGAGGGAGCAGTGGAAGAAGCTGCGCAGGGAGAGCTGGGAGCGTGAGGTGAGGCTGCTGGCACGTGGAAGCGGGCATGGGCTTCTGCTGCAAGGTCCTTCCTCAAGATCAGACTCCGCCCTGCACCCCCACCCCAAACAAAGTTAGAGTTTCAGTGGTGGAAAGATGCCAGCCTTCTGTGTGGTGGCTTCTGTTTCCTAAGAGAAGCCAAGGAGTGGGTGCAGCCCGTTGGGAAACACGGGGGATAGGGAGTGGGGCTTGCTGAGGAATAGGAGTGCCGGGTGACGGTCGGTGTAGGCACACTGTCCGTTGGAAACCCAGTGTTTCCTTCTTCGGCAATTCTAAGATGCAGGTTGAAGGTGAATGGTGTAGTGTCTTTTCCAGGGAGAATAAAAGGGATTTGAAGCTCATACAGAGAGCGATAGTCACAATGGAATGAATCTCAGCTGATAACGAAGGGAGATGAAGACAGGAGGCCACCGCTAGGGGGAGAGAGAAGGTTGAGGATCCAGATTTGTTATCTGAACTTCAAGAATTTGTGTCAAGGGAGCATTAAAGCAAGTGAACTGGATGGGGAGGCGGTGGTTGGATGGTGGGATGTTTGGTTTCATGAGTAAAAGAAGTGCTGGCTTGGTGATGAGGCCCAGGGTGTTTGGGGTTGGAAGTCCTGGCCATGGCAGAGAGGAAGGAGAGTCACCGCAGCCAAGGAGGGGAGTAGTCGATGGGAAAGGTGTCAGCATGTAGACGCTTGAGGTGATCGGGTGCAGCTTCCTTCTGCAATAGGCCCCACGCTAACTCCGCACACGCATGTGGAGGCCTGG